GGTATTCCCCAGCGCATTTGGCCAAGCTCCCCCCGACTCCGTCACTCGCTTCCTTCTGCCATCTCCTCTCCTCTGGGCACAGCAAGCAAATCCCACATCAGTGCTGTTCCTCCGAACCCCCTCCCAGCCAGCGTCCAGGAGGACGCGCTCCATTCCGAGATTTCCCTTCTCGGGGCCCTTGCGTATCAGGGTGCTGGGAGCTGCCTACAGGGTGACAGTGCTCTGTCACGGGCAGCCAGACCCGAGCACCCTGCCTGTCCCCCCACCTGTCACCCTCCGGGGCTCCTGGCAGCCCATTTTGCAGGGTCTCAGGACATCTGGGCCTAACTCTGGGTCCCAAATCGAGTTGCACTGGACAGGGCAGATGCCACAGATGCGGCAGTGCTCACAGAAGACAGACCTGTGTAAAAATAACCCCGAGGGCCCAGTGTATGGGCACTTAATGTGATTCCTTTGAAGAGCAGAAATGCTTGCGTGAAATGGGTCAGTCTGCCTGGATTTTCTAGGTGTGTTTAGAACAAAGGAAGATTGAGGTGGGTTCTCAGGGAGGTTGAGCTCTCTCCCCCATAGAGAAGAAAGCGACTCAAGGCAGAAACTGACCTGATGTGGGGCTGGGCTCGGCCTAGAGAAGGTGGCTGCAGGCACACTGGCCAGAGGGGCCTCGGCGCCCGAGGTGGCCGTCCCTGTGGGCGCTGAGTGAAAGGTACCTGGCTCTAACCATCACCCCCACGGGTTAGAGAGCCTGGGACAGGCATGGAAATGTGGGATGAGCCAGGCTTGGTGAAGACCCTGCCTGCTTCCTTCCCAGATGTCTTAAGAATGGCCCATGCCTGCGGGGGTGGGGGGGTGCGGGGGCGCCGCTCTTCCTTCCTCCGCCTACTTCCCCTACTTCCCTTGCCTGTCATTTCTCCCCCTGCTTCTTCTCCTTCCTCTTTGGCTTTCTGCCTTCTCCACAGCCCACAAGGTGGCCAGAGAGCGGGGGAGCACAGCCGGTGCCGCGTGGGGACTCTTGCCCAGCAGGCTTTGCAGGTTCCCCACAACCCCCTTTTCTGGAAGGCAGCATGCAGATATGGGGACCTGGGAGCGGGAGTCAGCCCGGAGCCTGGACCTGAGCCCCCCAGCCCTCAGTGCGGGTCCCTGGGTTTGTGCAGGTCCCTGGAGCCCTACCTCTATTTGCGGAGTCCTTTTCCCTGGGAAAAGCCCTTATGCCCTCCCTCCGCTCCGTATGAAGTCCTTGCTTTTTCACAAACACCTGGGAGGTAGGCGTGGCGGGAACTTCTCCCCTCCTTCTCCCACGCCTGGGAAGAACTTGGAGCTCAGAGACCTGAAGCCAGTGTCATGGTCACAGGAACAGCGCGTGGCAGAGCTGGGTCTCGTCGTCTGTGACATCACTCATTGTAACATGAAAAATTGCAGCGCAGGAACACCGACGAAATTGGCAGGCCTCTCCCAAGTTCAGGCCAGCGCCCTCACTGACGGTTCTCCCCTTGGGGCCGTGGGGGGGGG